GTGAATCTGGGTGTGACGCCACTGCGGAGGATCCCCGGCAGCCCTCGAACGAGGCGACAGTTTCGCGGTTCGCAGCCCCCCAGAGATGGCGAGGCCTAATCTGAATCTGGGTGTGACGTCACTGCGCTAACCCCCCCAGCAGCCCTTGGCAGCGGCGACCGTTCCCCCCCCTCCCCCCCCCTCGAGGTCTAACCTAAATGTGAATATGACGTCACTCAGCCCTCGAAAGTGGCGACAGTTCGCAGCACCCCCCAAGGATGGCGAGGCCTAGGTATGTATGCCGTAACTGCGCTGGGACCCACCCCCCAGCAGCTCTTGAAATTGGCGACAGATTCGCAGTCAGCAGCCCACCAGGGGAGGCGAAGCCTAATTTAAGTGTGCGCTTGGTAGACACTATGCTGCCCCCCCGAGCAGCCCTCGAAAGTGGCGACAGTTTCACAGGTCGCAGCCCCCCAGGGATGGTGAGGTCTAATGTGAGTCTGCACTTGGTACTCACTATGCTCCTCCCCAGCAGCCCTCGAAAGTGGCGATAGCTTCGCAGATAAGTCTGATCTGACTCTGCGCTCAGAATCCGCTAGGCTGGCCCCCCCAGCAGCCCTCGAAAGTGGCGACAGTGTAGCAGGTCGCAGCCCCCCAGGGATGGCGATCCGAGTCTGCGCTCGGTACCCACTACGCTGGCCCCCAGCTGGCCCAGAAGCTCTCGAACGTGGCGACAGTTTCGCAGTTCGCAGCCCCCCATGGACTGGGAGGCACAAGACCATGGGAAGCAGGAGGCAGGAGAAGAGAGGAGAGAAGAGGAGGGAGGCGGGAGGAGAAGGAGGAGAGGGAGACCGCGATGCTCGATCCAACACAAAGGCATCGCGGAAGGCTAGGAAAAGTCACATGGTCGGAAGTCTGGGCATCGTCCCCCCCCTCTTGTGTCCTCTGCGTGGCGGTCGGCATCGGTGTCGGCCTGGGCGTCCGAGCGGTCGCCCGCGAAGCGGAGGCTGCGGCTGCTGCGGGAGGGGCTGGAAGTATACACTGGGTCATCTGGTCGGCCAAGGAACTCGAGGACGACGATGGCGATGACGATGGCGATGACGATGCGACGATGCTGGCCGAATGGTAAGCGCACGATGCTGGCACGGAAAAGTGGGCACGGTGCCCAACAGCAATCTGGCCCAGGCAGCGGCCGCTGTTGGGCAGGCGATTTTGTTAGAGGGCAGACAAATCCTGATCACGCCGACACGCGAAACTGTTCAGCAAACGCACCCACCGAAGGAATCGAACAAGGCAGGGCTGTTTAGTACACGCCCAGGGCCGTTCAATAACGCCAACTGTTGTGTCTGAAATGGACAACGCCCGCGGCGACTCAGACAGCGAGTCCGGTTCAAAAGTGGCAGGGACTGCTGCTGGTCTTCGCCCCCACTCTTGAAGGGGCCCAGGGACACACTAATAGATACAGACAAATCCCACAAGTCCCAACATTTTATCGTATCTTCTCGATGTTCGTCTTCCACACACTTCCCATATCTTCCAATATTCTCCTGGGGATCGACGATCAACTGTGTCTGTGTGTTTTTTCCCACCCGAATTCTCTCTGCACCCATTTCAATCGCGGCCCAGTGCCATGGTCACGAGTGCACAAAACGCGCTCAGCATCCCACCAGCATCGCCACCGCCATCGTCATCGCCCCCGCGCCCCAGCCTCTCAACGCCGTAGGGGCGCTGGGGCGTCTACACCGCGAAGAGTCCTCCGCTTCGACCCTCGCGGTTCTGCCCGCCCAGACGGCGTGGTGAGTTGAAGGTCAACGTGAGGGGGGGGGGAGGAGGAGAAGAGGAGAAGGAGGAGGAGGAGGAGGAGGAGTAGGAGGGGAGGAGGCGGAGTGAGGAGGTGGAGGAGGAGAAGTGGAGGACGGAGGAGGAGAAGGAGGAGGAGGAAAGGAGGAGGAAGGAGGAAGCGATGAGGAGGCTGACGTGGGCCCGCACCAAAGGGCTCAGGGGAGGGTGCAGCGACCTGGAACGGGTGATACGTCGCCGATAGGTCGGCGATTGGGCCCCCGATAGCGGATGCGCGCGCTCCTGGGCGGGGTGGGCCATCGGGCCCCTGTCGGCGATGAGTGGGCGATTGGGGTAGATGCCTCCCAGATGGGGTCGGAAGAGATGGGCTCGGAAGATCGCGCCGACGTCGCCGATACACCGCCGATGCATCGCCGATGCATCGCCGATGCACCAGCAACGTCGGCGATGCACCGGCGACGTCGGCGTGGAGAAAATCGGGATCCACATCGAGCCGCATCGGCGACGCATCGGCGATGCAGCGCGATCCTCCGACCCCATTTACTCCGACCCCATCTAGGAAGCCTAGATGGGCATGGGGTCGATG